ATAATGACCAGTTAATAATGACCAGTTAATAATGACCAGCTAATAATGACCAGTTAATAATGACCAGTTAATAATGACCAGTTAATAATGACCAGTTAATAATGACCGGTTAATAATGACCAGTATATTGTGTGAGGAAAAACGTCAATAAACACAAGAGACGTAATGTTTCTTGTGTTAATTTAAAATTATTCAGCGTCTTGCAGACGTTTTTTCACCCGGAACTTTTACCTTTAATTGGTTATGAGAGTTTTTCTCCTCTGGCAGCTGGTCCTGACCTGAGGTCAGGACCAGCTGATCACCATCTGATGCAAGGAGACCATTGCTATCTGCTGCTTGTGGGTTCCTATAGCCTGACAACTAGGTACTTCAAGCACCTTCTGAGGTACCTGCTTCCATGTGTTTCTTGACGATGAATGAGGGATATGCAAACACTTGGGTACACAATTGTACCGGTGTCTTATTCATCAACTTCTACCATTGTTCCATCAGTCCATTATGGATAATTAAGTCATAAATTGGGGAAGGAAACAGACAGCGTCTCGGTCCATCCTACATCATTATCAAGGAAGAACAAACAAATATATTATTTACTTCCACTAGCCATTTGTTAGAGGTGTGAATTGTTCCAGCCATCGTACTGTGATGTCTATTAATATTGTATCTCGTAAGTTCTTGTAGAAAGTTTAAAAGTCGTGGACCCCACATACTGACACCGTGTTCTCTAATTGTCTCTAAAACGCCTCATATTTTTTAAGGGTTTATTCTTCATTTCTATATTATTTCTCACACACACTCCTTAGATCTTGAAAGTTATTGACCTACTGTGAGATACTGTGAGATATATCTCTCGTTTTTCAACCAAAACAGTCCATTCTATACAACACGAGGATAATATTGTGTTCAGTGGTATCAGTACTGAGTAAATGAGGAATTACACATGTACAACATCTGGCTGTTTTTATCTGAAGACGTTTTGCCGACCTGTGGTTTTATCAATTTAATTCAGAGATGATATACGAAGACAGGAGAAGATGATGTAATCAGAATTTTACATAGAAGACAGTGGAAAATAAGGTAATCGGTCCCTCAGCCTTGCATAAGTATACACAGAAGATAGTAGAAGGTGAAGTAATCAGTCCCTCAACTTTGCAGAACTATATACGGAAGACAGTGGAAGACTAGGTAATCAGCTGCCAGGCTTGGGGACTGATTACCTAATCTTCCACTATCTTCTGTATATAGTTCTGCAAGACTGAGGGAGTGATTACCTCATCTTCCACTATCTTTCTGTGTACAGTTCTGCACGACTGAGGGACTGACTATAATTGCATTGCTCCCACTTTGGCATCCATAGAAGACCCAGCGAGTAGTCAGGCTAATATAAACCAAATCTTCCAGTGGGTAACTGACAACAGTGTGATGCTCAACAAAGGCAAATGCCAATTATGTTAAGGTGAGAGTGAGGAAATAAAAATGAGTTCGAAGAAAAACTCAAATCACTCAAGAGAGTGCGTGTTTAATGTGAGAAACCTAGGAGTAATAATGTTAGAGGATCTCGCTTTCAGAGAGCACAATAACGTTGCTATCACAGCTGTCGGAAAATGAGAGGTTCGATAACTAGAGCCTTCAAAGCCAGCTGACCAGTTCATAAAGTGGTGGAAGAAACACGCACTGTTGACATCATTCATCATGCACTTGCATGTGTTCTTGAAGGCCAGTCAGAGTTCGTGCCTTGTCTCCCCAATGTAAACTTCGCTATGTTCCCCCTTGGAAAACTATTGACATCTTCCAGTAGTATTTTTTTTTTTTGAGGGGGGGGGGCTTGAGGTCTGATCATCTCGTTTTTTGGTTTTAGTAGCTACATTGGGGTGATATATGTGGTTTCCTGACCTGTGGGAGAACAAGACGATCGATGCTGGGGCACTGAGAGTGGGTGCGAGCGTGAACGATGTGCAGAGGAAACATATGGGCAACAAATTCGTCCTCACAGGACAGGGAACTGCATCCATCACTCTTATTTTCCATTACGACTGCATGGGCGTAGCTCGATTGGTAGCGCACTCAGCTTACACATTGTGGTGCGTGATTCGATCCCCGGTACGGGTGGAAACTTTAGGACGTATTTCCTTAAGACAACTGCTGTCCATGTTCACCTAGCATCCATCGGCCACTAAAATACTGAAGTGTACATGATTCACGAAATCGTAATGACACGATTGCAAACAAACCATACCACGGGCGGGGATAGAACCCGCGATCAGAGAGGTATGGTTTGTGTACATGATGGCTGGGCCCATTATTCGAGTCATCTTCTGTTCTTATATTAAAACTATTACCCATCCCTCACGTCACCTCCCCAACCATGCCTCCCTTTCACCTCACCTTCTGAAACTCACCTCACCTTACCTTAACATCACTTCCCTCACCTCGTCTCCACTTTATCTCCCTCATCTCACACTCCTGACCTCACCTCTTACCTCAAGAACCATTCCCCATACCCCACCTTAGACCTCTCCTGTGACCTGTCTCACACTTAACATCTGTGTAGAGCTTTACAGTTTTTAAATAACAAAAAGGCACAATACCGTGACTGGAAACGATACACAAATAACCCGCACATAAAAGACAGAAGCTTACGACGACGTTTCGGTCCGACTTGGACCATTGACAAAGTCACTTTGTCAATGGTCCAAGTCGGACCGAAACGTCGTCGTAAGCTTCTGTCTTTTATGTGCGGGTTATTTGTGTTTACAGTTTTATCAAGTCAAAACTAATAAAGCTCAATTCCTTGCTCTTGGCAAGTATGGTATTCAACTACATGCATTATACTCTAGTGGGGAGGAGTTTCCAGAGCCTTGAAACTCTAACAAGTAACAGTGACCAGCAAGGTTTAGCGTATGGTGAGAGGGGACAGGAGCGAAATGTTGCTTGGGACACTCGCTGCCTCAACTTCTCGCTGAACCCACACAGACCGTCATGTACATAAAAGCAGATGGGAAAAATCTAGTGTTAGTGGATTCACGATGGTTGTACAGCAACTGTATCAGGATGGTCAGTTGACAGCAAGGCAACCTGGTCAGTAGTAGTACATAAGAACATAAGAAAGGAGGAACACTGCAGTAGGCCTGTTGGCCCATACTGGGCAGGTCCTTCATAAATCCAACCCACTGAATATTTGCTCAACCCATTTTCAACTCTACACAAGCAATAAGCTTTGATAAATCTATTTACTCATGTGTAATTCAAATCCATCCCCTCTCACTCATGTATTTATCCAATCTAAATTTGAAACAACCAAAGTTTAAGCTTCAATAACCCAACTAGGCAGACTGTTCCACTCATCACTACCCTATTTCCAAACAATACTTCTA